TGGCATCGTTTAGGTCATTTAAATTTGCAAGACCTACGCCAGGCTGCGAAAAGGGGGTTGCATACAAGGAATTCATACATAAAATATTAACGGAAATTTTAAATCCAAGGTAAAATGTCCCGATTCTCTTTTCCAAAATTCTCTTCAAAAAGGTAAGGCAAGAAGAGAGTTGTACATTCGGAAGTTAGTACGCCGATATATGTAATTTCGCTTGGTGGGGGCTTATTTTTGCACATTCATTTATAATTGCTCTACTGGTGTGGAATAAATATCATTAAGCTAAGAATCAGGTTGTTTAAGTATTTGATAATTTTAGAGCCATCACGGATACCCAATGAGGAATTAAAAAGTATTCAAACAGATTATAGATCTGTATATGTTAAAGATTACGATGACATTTTCAAGAAATGTAGAAGACCAACTACTCCGTATAATCCAGAGCAGAATGGAATTGATGAACGAAGAAATCGAACACTGATAAATACTGCTAAATGTTTGATTCAGTCAGGGTTGCTTTCAAATTTGTGGACACAAACTCTTAATATCCCTAATTACACACGGAATAAATGTCTGACAAAAATATTAAATGGAAAATTACAAATGAAATCAGATTCGGAAGCTCTCCCCCTCCGACGTGTCATACTTCAAACGATTTGGTTCTGAAGTTGTCATCGTTAAATCACCTGGAAAAAGTGAGCTTATACCACCTTCCAAAAAGTGTTTTTGTGGGACAATGCATGAATACAAAAACTTACAGAATATGGTTTCCATTTGAAAAAAGTTTAGTGGAGTCGTCGGATGTCAAATTTACAGAAAAATCGGGCAACATGAACAACAGATTCGGAGAATTTAAACCGGAAGACGAATGTGATTTAAAGTCAATCAAACCTGGCAGATGTAAAGAAAATATTGAATATTATCACGAAATTATTTATTGAAATATCTACCGTGATCAAGAAGACAGAAAAATTAAAAATCTGAATTGTAATGCCCCAATCAACGAAATCACTGAAATTCACGGGTCGCAAAATGAAAATATTCCACCGGCGCCAATAAATATTGTCAAGAGATCTAAGAGAAAACTGCACGAGATACATTGTGGACAACCAGGAAATACTCTAGTGGATCGAGAAAGAATTGAAGAGGCTTGGTGAACAATCATAAGAATGATTGAGGGCAATGACAAGAAGTAAAGTCATTTAAAAAACAAAAATTGAACTTGAACATACGTTTGTATATCAATGCTGAAGACATTATAGTCTTGTGCTGATTAAGAAGCACGGAACTGATGGTACTTTGCAAAGAAGAAATGCTAGTCGTCGCTAAAGGATATTCACAGCAAGACGGAAGATTTTTACGAAACGTTTGCTCCAGTAGCTCATCTAGATTTTATTCGAATAGAGATTGTACTCGCTTACTTCGCGCACCGAAAATTAAACAATTCGAAGTAGCAACAGCATACTCTTCTTTTCTTCGACGTCGTCGACACAACGCGTCTCTGAACAAATCTTCGGCATTGGACGCCTGGCATGGAGTAATCCTCCGTTAAGTTTCGTTTTGAAAAGTCCTTTCACGTCACTATTACTCGCACAACGTTTCTTGAACGATGGATTGCAGAAATGCGGGTAGAGTGGGTGATATTAGTTACGAAATCAGCCACTAGATTTTATGAAGCAATGCCAATCTCTGGAGAAGCCGTAATGCCTTTGCAACTTTCTCAATAATTTGCGTTCTAATTTTCTCAGGAGTTCGAGGTACTTTCTGTGACGAATCTCCACCTGCTTTGGTCATTTATTTATTGTTGAGAAAATCACGGTCAGCATTTTCAACGGAAAATTGTTTCTATTATGCGCCAATGAAGATGTGTTTGGAATGCTGTCGTCAGTGCACGCTGCGAGCTTTTTGTCTTCAACTGTTTGTGTCAGAGCCGGGGAAGCAAGGTCATCGTTCAAGAAAAGTTGCGCGAGTAATACCTTTTATCACTTCGGCGCGCAGCTGGGCGCATTTAGTTACCGGGGTTCCCAGACGACCAGTCGCCTAGGAATTCATGGTAACTCGAATTCCTTAACTTCCACTTCACGGTAGTTAAGAAATTCGTCTAACGACGCCGCGCCGGCTTTAGAAGTACGGTTCTTTCGAAGATGTGTTTATGGAGATTCCTGATGAAATGGAAGAAGCTTTGATATCGTTCAAAGTAAAGGTTATGATTATGAAAATGTTCCAGAAGCCTAGTCTATATTAGAAGAAATATCAAATGAGGCCATGGTGTGTCGTATGAATAAGTTCTGTGCGGTTTAAAACAAACATGTCTAGCTTGGAACAAACACTTATACAAAAAGCTAGGTCATGAAGATGCTACTCCCACAAAAAAGGACCCTTGCGTTAATGTAAAAAATAGAAAGAAGAGGAGATGATAATTGAACATGATATTTTAGTAATGTGTCGAGATCCACAGAAGATTGAAGACTTCGCACGTCGATTAGCTGCATTTTTCAAAGTTAGATATCCTGCTTTGGAAAATTACATCGGGAAGTAGAAAAAAATAATTCTGCGATATTTATATGATACGTAGAAATTTATTATAAAAATAATGTACTGGTTACGTTGATACCGACTACGGCGGATGAGTGAATGACAAATCGTATACAAGATGTGTACTCTGTATAAATGGAGAGCCTGTAACATGGGTTCCTGTGGCAGTTTCAACTATTGAAATAGAACATACTGCCAAAGTTGGAAAATATTCTGTATACATTTGGAAAACCATTCTGAATGAGTTGGGTGCAACGGACACTACGATTATAAATGTACACAGTGACTATCTTAATGCACAAAATTGACAGTTAATCTCGAAATTCATGCACGAACGAAACACATAATGTACGTAATAACTTTATCTGAGAAGTAATGGAATCGGGAACACTTGATTCGGTGCATCTTGCGTCAACGGAAATGCCAGCTGACATCTTACCAGGACTGTCTAAACACACACGAGTTAAGCTGTTGGGTCTATCAAGATTATCGATGCAGAGTTAATCTCGAAAAGTGTTGTATCCTAATCCTTAGTCCGGTATATCGTGTTGATGTACGAGTTGAATGATTCGCCCGCTTGAATGCTTGAGAAGTGTGTTTTAGAGTTCCAACAAGAAATAAATCATGAAGGAACTTCTACATTGTATCTGTAATTTTGCATAAAACACAAACTTGTTTTGGGATTTTAACTCGAATTATTTTGAACCTCTATGACTCATACCTTGGATATTTCTCTGAGATATTAACAGACATGAGTCATGGAAATAAACGTCTCTGCCTTTCACTAATTTATCTCCACTCTTACCTCACAGCCATTATTCTGGATGCCTCTGCACTGACACAAAAAGACTACTACCATGACCCAATACAACCAGAAACAATCAACTGACGTTTCACTTAATCAACTTAACAAGAGAAATGCCTAGGGCGCAGATGTCTATGACCTAAAAATGCAAGAAATATACAAAAATATATAACCTAAAAAAATTAAAATATTTCCATAAATGACTTAAAAATGTTTGATTGCATTTCAAAATTCTTTCAAAATATTTCCGCTGTTTAAATAAGCACTATATTGAAAATCTTCTTTTCAAATTGGCACATTCACAATTCACCCCTTCTCCTTTGGCACTATATGAACACAATTCTACTTGCTAAAGTTATTTAATAAGTTTTATAGAAGCAGCTGACCTTGGCAAAAAAACAACAAAAAAACTAACCCTTTCTTTGCATCTGGCACTTCTTTTTCTCCTATATGGCTTAGTCTCCTAATTCACATACGTCTTCATTTATATGAGACTGACAACAATTATATACAGCAAGAAATTAGATAACAATTAGGAGATGTGAAAAATACCTTTGAGACAACTGCCAGCAAGGATGGAATCAAAAAGATAAAAATATGAAAATTCATGAAAAAATATGACAATACAAAAATTATCGTAAAATGAACACAGGGTTAAAAAAGCCAAAATACAACTATATGACATGTGTGACACATGAAAATTGCATAATTTTAGTCTTTAGTAGATAAAAGCATGCTTATCTTACATTTTCCATGAGAATAAACAAAGTAAAAATATATGACATGTCATAAACACCTGGGCCTTAGTAATAACTTACATCTTCCAACTCTGCAAGAATTAAATCAATGTCCCGAAATTAAGATTAAAAATAAAAAATAAAATTATAAGAAACGTGGACCAATAAGTACATTCTCAACCACTCACTTTCACGACCAGATGAAGAAAGGGGGGAAAACTCACAGTAGATTTTTGTTTTCCTTGTATTTAAAACTGTGATTAAAATTTTTGATTATTCTATTTTCAGATATCACTTTAGTTTTTACAATATACACAAATTACAAACCTCACAAGATAATTTAAAAAATGAAAATATTAATGTGAAATTTACCTATAATTTAGAATTGTGGTTGGAGCAGCAAAAAATAAATAATTTTAGATCAGCTACAATTCCATTAAAAGTATTGTACTATAAATTTTGCTACTTTTTTTGTCACCTATTCTTGAATGTTTTAGTGAATTACAACTTTTCAAACTATTTATACTCGAGTGCATTGAAAACGGTGCAAATTCCAGCGTCAATTTACCCAGCACAACCCAAGAGGCACTATTTAAATTTCTTATATTTTTATTATTATTATTATTATTATTATTATTATTATTATTATTATTATTATTATTATTATTATTACCTCTATGGCCCTGATAACCAAATCCGCCAAAAAGCGTTCAGCAAGTCCTTAGAAAATACAAGAGCTGGTGATCATAGAATCAAGAACTGTTTTTCTGTTAGTATGGTCATCTGTCCCTAGAGTGCAGTTAAAGTTGCAGGTGTGTTGAACAGTGTTTGAAAGTGAACAAACTTTATATAAAAAAAAAAAATAAAATAAAAAAAACACTGGAGAGTATTGCGAGTTGTTATTGCACGTGTAGGTACGTGTATTTGACGTGTAGGTACACTCCTGCAGTTTCAATAGCCAAAATTCAAGAAATTCAAGTTAGAACTATTTTAACATCCACCATATTTGGCCTGCGATATATGCTCTAACGATTTCTTTCCATTTCCAAATTTGAAAAAATGGCTCAGCAGATGACTGTTCACATCGAATGAGATCGCCCAGAGGCCAATTTTCAAGACTTCCAAAATCCTACTTTTTTGATAGGTTAAAGTTGGAGAGAGACTTGGAAAAGTAGAGAGTTAAAAAGAAGTTATGTTGGAAAATAAAAAATCCTGCACAAAAAAATTTGCTTCATCTTTTTCTAAGGACTTATTGAACATCCCTCAAATCCTCCAAAAAACACTATTTTGAAGAGGTAATATTTATTTTGAAGACTATATAGGTAAGAAATAATCTTTTATCTAAAAGACATGACAAAGGTCTCTCAATCTTTATTCAATATACAAAACTGAAATTGTTTCTTTACCTGTATATGAGAAAATGATAAGTAAATGTTTCAGAAAATAATAATGAAACACTTATAGAGACCAATAGTACATGTTAATATAAAAAATGCAAATACATTTTGAACCCGTACACTGCACACACCCAACTCTTTACAACAAAAACTCATCATTATGATAGATCAAACAATGTTAAATTTCAAGTCAAACTTTTTGTGTACCTTACAAAATTTACAATTTTCTAAAGTACACAACCAATTTTTCTACAACTGCTATGAACTGTTCAAAATTCAGTCATCTTTCTTAAAATTTTAAGCTCAGGAGCAGACACTTCAGCAATAAATTTTTATTAATTGCTGCTGTCACACAGTATGTTACATCTTACCTATTGTGGAAAAATTAAAGCCACAATTTTTTTTATAAATCATTAGATGGATTTAATGTAATTTAAACCAATAATTATAATTTAATCCACTGAAGTCTGGGACTTTCTAAATCACCTTTCTACCTAACCATAGTCCCCATGAAAGTAATATGCCAATTACCATTGCTTCAACAGAGGCACCACCTTCGTTATACACCACCACTCTCAACTGTATTATTCTGTACCTAATGTAATAAACTTGATTTAGAATCTCATATCTATTCACCATTGAGGAATGAATGGCTATACACTATTGGACAAACCATTGTAAGTCAATGGCAAGTCTAAAAGGTCAGAAGAGATTGTAGTACAGCGGTCTACGGAGACCTGACACTATTAGCACGAATGGTTTATTGTTAATCTTCCAAGACAAGAAGCTTAAAACAAAGCACAATAGATGCAAATATTTCCATATGTGCAGTAACTGTTATTACAGTACTTTAATAAATTACAAATAGAAAACTTAAAAAGGACTCAGGCTACTTCGCATCTAATATTACAACAATTTTTATATTACATATCCACTGCTGTCTAAATACATTCTTGTAGTTTCACAAACTTCATTCTGATGATAAACTTTTTAATTTTCTAACTCAAAACAAATAATGCAAATATTTATCTCAGAATTAGATGGCTCTCAGAAAACAACCTTGGAATCATGTATATTTCTGAAATCTTACAGACATTTTAGAACATAAAATAGAGATAAATGGAAGAATGTTAAGAAATCACCAAAAACACCATAAATTTGCATATCCCCTTTTCAACAGTGACAAATGCAGATGGATTTGCTATCAAGACAAATGATCATTGTCACAGTATGAAGTCCCACACAATTTAATGTTTTCAGTAGAAAAAGTAAACATAAACAGCCAAAGGTACCGAGCTTGGTGATATCATAGTGCTACATCCTTCAAATCACTTGGAAGTTCATTTTTGGGATGTTTATTTTCAAAATGTTGCTTGTAGGTCTTCGGATCAGGCATCTGCGCCTAAAAAATACATGTAATTTTACAAACAATGAAATACAAGCAATGAAAACCTTTATCAGTTAAGGTATCCAAAAACTATTTTACTTGAATTAAGTGTTGTCTACAATAAATAAGGTTTTGTGAATATGCCACCTGGTATTTGCTCATAGTAAAATATCACTAATAATTATATATTCTGCAATGGTAGCTCGTTGAAATTCAGTTAAAAATATTATTCCTTATTATTATTTTGAAAATAAAGGAAATCAACTGCCACAGTTATTAAAATGAATTTCATTTTTCTACCTTTGGAAAAATATTTCCTTTCCTGCTCACTAACATGAGAAATCTGACATTTTCATTGTTATCAGTTGTTTTCTAACCCTTTTGGACAAGTCTATCATATCTAAATGACGGAACCAATTCTTCAAATTCTTATGTAATGAGAAATAGACACATTTTACTCCATTATTTTCCCCCTATACAAAAAATTAAGCCATGCCAGGGACATACAATTTATCATTAAATAATACATTTTAGAATAAAGTTTTCTTCACAGGTAAGTTTGCCAATAGCATTTATATTTTTGTACTTGATATATTTATAATTAGCAATGTCCCAAAGCAATAAACTGGGAAATACATTTTAGTTTCACAATATTGTACAATTAGTTTCCAATACCCTTCCAGCACAATTTAAAGACTATAAAATTAAAAATTTAAAGAGTTTACTGTGTCAAACTTCTCACTTCCAAAACTGAACTGATACTACAATATAAAGAAAAGAGAAAAAAAAGGTGTTAAGTTAACATAACTGTACTGAATGGAAACTTACAGGAACTGTACTAATTCTGATACTATGAAATAAAATGTATACCCCAGACAAATTTATTTAAACAAGGAAAAGTCCATGGTCAAATCCATGAGCCCATACCGAGTACCCTACTTTAACCAAGATACCAATGAATGAATTTGGGAATGAAAATTGTGATTTTCAATTTTCCATGTAACAATTATTCAATACCACCTATTTTAACTTTACCATTAGGCCTTCGTATTACAATTTCTAGTAACATTAGAAAAAATGACAACCTTTTCTACAAAGGCATATTGCACAATCCTCTATCAATAGCTGCAACATACCTTGCATACTGCACAGACATGAACAAGGGCTGCTTGTGCGGCTTTTCTCTGGTCATTAGCATTGTGTCCCTGTTGTTTCTTCATTTTGGCCTGCTTTTCAGCAGCCTTCTGTTGCGACTGAAGTTTCTGCTGCCCCCGAGCCATGCTTATTTAAACAAAAAAATAACAAAGGGGGTAATTAGAAAATTAATTCATCATCAAGCAATAGAGGAACAAAAATATTGCGCAAGTGAAAGGGAATTGCAGTAGCTACTTTCATCCTGGATGCCACGTTCATCTCGTGACATCGTTAAGACTAACGTCAGAAAAGGCAACATGCGAATATAAAAGTACACTGGGAATACAATTTATTTCAAGGAATAAGTACCATGAATTCCTTATCCCAATGAATTCTCGATTGTTTACTCAATTCTCCAACCCTTCATTCCAAACATCAAATTTGCAACGGCAGTAATAACGCAAATCAACACAAGCAGTACACTCAGAGCTACGCTGAATCTTTGTTGTGGTCTCGCCCTACATAGCCCATGATCGCAAAATATTATCTATACAACGAAACTGCATGGATACCAGTTGTAGCTACTGCATTATACTTACATTAAAATAAGATTAGAAGTGTAAGGAAAAAAATACTTTCACGAAGCCCACAAACACTCAACAAAGTGTAACGCACTATCAGAGTAACGAGAGGATCGTCCTCGTTCACTCGAGAAATTTAACCGGATGTGAAATTCATTGAACTCCTACTCAAAGCCGTACTATAATATTTGTATACAACGTTTTTACACAAGTTTTCAAATATTTACATTTATTTTTAATTATTTATTATTTTTTAGAAATATAGAATTTTCAGAAGGTTTAACTCGAGTTTTTAATTGAAAAGCTCCAACACCGGAAGTAGTTCGAGTAGCGCGTTTCTTGAAATGTGTGTTGCCAACCCTGTTGTAAGGTTATGTGATGTCAGGACCAAAATGTTTTTAATGCATTGGTGAAGATTGCGAAACAATTTACATGGTTTTCTTCAAATTAAAATACTTTTAAGAGAACTTCCACGTTTTGTTTATCAGCATATGCTGTTGTGTAATTTATATGTTCGCCACGTCCAAACTCGAAGTCACCCCAGCACAGCACTTGCTCATTTTCTGATTATTTGTGGAATTTATCATTATTCTTGTGTATAATGATTAAATATATTTTTAGGAGATTCACATCTTGTAGATTAAAATATCCCAACTCAATCAAGCTTTGTGTGCCTTGTAACTTTTTGTCTTCAAGTTCAATATTACATGTTAAAAGGAAATACCCTATCTTACCAGAAAAGGCAGAGGATTTACCAGGTACCTCTGACTTTATATTAATAATCATATAGTATTGTTATGATCATGAAATGCTGTGAATCAATGTTAATTTGTCTATGCTGAGTATTTAAATTATTATTTAGTGTTCCAGTATCCGGTAGCAGATCCAACAGATAAACGCATTTATGTTTGGGGCTTGGCAGAGCATGGAGCTCTAGGCAATCATGTTCAAAATAGGAAATCAAAAGTTATTAAGAGACATTTTTTTCTGCCTGTCAGATTGCAGTTTGGAGAATTGCATAAAGTAATGTAAACTGTACTTCAATTTTATTATCTAATTCCGTCAATTTTCTAGTATTATTGTGAATACATTGTTTTTAAGTTGCTTTTTTATATGTGAAGGTTGTTGATTTCACCTGTGGGTATGGCTTCACAGCATTTGCAGTTCAGTCCAAAGGTACACATAAAGTGTTTGGCTGTGGAATTAACACAGATTCACAGATAGGTATGAAATGAAAAATGTTATGTTACAATTTGTTGGAATATTTGAAATGAAGTGATATCATTGTTTATAACTTTTTTCTTGCAATAATTATTGATTTTCATTGTGTGAATTGTTGTAGGTTATCATGCGGTTAGGCGAAACCACCCTCTTAGTATAATATTAAACCCACTTCCTATAGATATACCTTTTGTTTCTCCAAATACAATAAGAATAAAACAAGTTGCTGCTGGAAGGGCTCATCTTCTTGTTCTAACAGAAACTGAAGGTGTTTATTTATTAGGGAATAATGCATATGGTCAGTGTGGAAGAAAAATTGTTGAAAGTGAAGATTATAGTGGTCATCCTATAATTAATAACATTACCCATCTTGAAGGGAATAAAATTAATAAAATTGAATGTGGTCAAGACCATAGGTAAAATACAAGTACATTTCTCCATTTTATTATTATTTTTTATTCATTGAATTAATCATGAATTTGTTTTACAATTGAATATAAATTAACATTTCCAGCTTATTCATTACGGAAACAGGAAAAGTCTACACATGTGGCTGGGGTGCTGATGGCCAGACTGGGTCAGGTCATTATGGGAATTCATATCATCCTTCTCAAGTGAAAGGAGATATCGAAGGAGAAATTATTACTAAAGTTGCCTGCTCTGTTGATTGTGTTTTAGCACTTAATAGTAAGCAATGTATCTTTGATTATTAAAATTTACTTATAATTTGAACTTTAACTTCACAGTTTTATTTTAGGCCTTAAACACTACAATTGTTCACCTTGCTTCAATGAAGAACTCTTCAAATGGGTTCAATGTTTTTGTATAGTAAATAATGTTTTTGCCAGTAAAATTTAGAGCAAAGATGAGATGATTCTAAAGAGGATTTTTGAATTAGGGACAAATGACTGAATAAAGATTAAAAAGAAAGTATTAACAACAGCAAGTTCTTTCTGAAAATCAATATTGTAAACAGGAAGATTATTGGCGAGGAGATTTTTGGAAAGTCAAATTTACTAACAATGCAATGAACATAATATCATTCTTTGAATGTGCTAATGTTGAAAGGCTTCTTCAGGTAATTTATTGTGATTTTCTTTACATAGATAAAGGAGAAATTTTTGGTTGGGGAAATTCTGAATATGGACAGCTAGTCTCTCCTGAAGAAAAAGTCCAATTAAATGCAGCTGTATACTTGGAAAAATGTCGTTCGCTTGGTAAAATTGTAGATATTGCTGCTGGAGGTTCCTTCTGTATGGCTGTTAATGGTAAGAATGAGATTAATTTTAAGAGTAAAGAAAATGCCTTCATGCTTCTGAGAACAAAAACCTGTATGTTAATGATTAATGTAGTGATCAAACAAAATTGTAATACTATTTCATTGAAATGGGCAATCAATTAGCAGGTTTTTATCAAACATGCAAGTGACAATAACACAGAATCGTTGTGACAAATAATAATATTAGCTCGTGTGTATTTATAGGTAATACTCTTACAATTGACTAAAAGAGACCATTATGTGCAAGTTAATTGATTATATTAATTATTCACCTGTGGAATACAATGTCTACATAATAACTATAACTATGTTTTATCTATCCAAATACCTTTTTAAAATTTTGATATATTTTGTAACTATACGCCTAAATGATTTGTGGTAGTATTATATTACGTTTATTGCATCAGATATGACAATGAGCCGTACAATCTGCTCTGAGCACATAAGCACACAACATGTAAAGGTGATCAAATAAAAGTTATTATTTGAATGTACATGATAGACTAGGATATGATTAAGAACTCAAATTTTGTAAGTTTATATATTGAAAACTTGCTAATTTGTAGAAAATGTTGTGCAGTCCATGAAACATTGTAATAAATATGATAGATCTTAGGAGAGAAGTTTTCTTTTAGTACATGTTTTATGTTGTTTTTTCTTGCAGAAGAAGGTGCATTGTTTGTTTGGGGCTTTGGAATATTAGGAAAAGGTCCAAAAGTAGATCATTCCCTTGAACCCACTAATATTCCCAGCACATTGTTTGGTCAAAATGAATTTGAACCACATTCGAAAGTGGTGGGGATTGAAGCAGGAATTGGACATATGGCTGCTACCACAAATTCTGGAAATCTTTACATGTGGGGTCACAACAGATCAGGATGCTTAGGCTTAGGGCATATGGATGACCAATTTTTCCCACTGCGAGTAAGTTTTAAAAGAAGATGTCTAATTTGTAATAAAATGTGAATTAATTAGTATTAGTAGTAATCTACAGTTAATAGAAGAATGTAATATATGTTGTTACTAATGCATGAAAAAGTTATGTTCTCTAGGCAGAGGTAGAAGTTAATTTGAAAGTGAATTAATCCTTTTTATTCTTCAGTGCTGTACATTATTTTCTCCACATACTACAAGCAAACACATAAAAAACAAAAAAAAACTTCAAATGAAATATTATCTAAATTATTGAATGCTAAAATGAACATATCTTTCATTATTTTCATTACACTGTTGAGAAGACTTAAATGTATTCATTTCACTATTTATAAATTGTATAAGCAGTGAATTAAAATATTATAATTCACTTGAAGATAAAATAATTGATGTGTTGCAAAGAAAACAAAAGGAAATTATGGTTTAATTGGCTGGAAAATCGATAAACTTTGTTTTTCAGGACTGTTGTACAGTAGAACTCAAATTATTCAACCCCTCGATTTAAAATTCCAATTATTCTAACAAGTTTGGAAGAAAAAATTAATAAAGATAATTTAATTAGTGGTTTCTTTTTTTATGTGGCATGCAGTATTTAGCTTTCTACACTTTATTTTTGTTGAACTTAAATTCATTAAATTTAGTTCAGTTTATTCTGTCATGTTTTTTCTCTTCTGAGTTTTATCCAATCATCTAAATTCCAAAAATCTGAACTTACATGATCCTTAGTTTCAATAATTGAAGTTCTATTGTATTTGTCCAGTATCACTGTGTAAACAAATGCTAGAATGTTCAGAAACTAAAATGGTTGTTGATTGTGCCAAGAACTACAAACTAAATAATTTACAGAGTGGTGATGGATAAAATTATTGAATTTTAAATAAAAACTGAATGTAATTTTTTTAATGTAATTATTCTTAAAATAGAATATTCAACTTTGTGCTGTGTTCCTTAAAATTAAGGTTGTTTTTCTCTTCTTTTCTTTTTCATTCTTTTTTTTTCTTTTTCTGTACTAATAGATAAATTCTATTTCAGGTTTCCATTGGTGCTAGTGTACAGAAAGTCAGATGTGGTGTAGATCACACTGTAGCATTGTGTCAACCCTTTGTTTAGTTTTTTTATCTATGTAAAATTATAAATGTATATTTATTGTTCATAATTGTAGATATATAAAATACAATTAAGGCATACTGATGTTTGACAAAGAATAATCATGTATTAATATTTGTACAATTGTTATTCAGATGTAAATATAAAAAGCACATTACTTCAATAAAGCAATTAAATGTTTTTATATGAATGGAATTAAATAGACTGATGGCAATATATTCAAACCAAGCCAAAATAACACGTTTCTTGTTCAGGCTGCTGGTACATTTGGTATTCCTTCGTACAGATGACAAAAACAAAATCACTATCTGTTTTCCTGTTATTCATCAGCCTGTAGGAATACCTTTACAATTAGCAATCTTTCTTCTATTTGCCAGGTTAGATGAATTAATTTGGAGGTTTATTCCATTTTAGAAGTAAATTGGGGGTGATTATGAGTAATCAAACAAATCTTGCAGTTGTAAACCCAAAACAATATTTTCTTCACATACAAAATTATCCTGGGATTGCCAGATGTTCACCACATGAATTCCATATTTTCTATTTAGATGAATGACCCAAGTTAAACCAGTGGGGATACTGAATAGCACAGGCTTTCATAGTAGTTAGTTTTATAATTTCTTTGGTTGGGGTAGGTTCTTGGTTTTGCCCCAACCTCTTCCCAGTTGCCATGTATCGCCACCCAAAGTAAATTTTGTTCAATTTTTCAGTCCCCTAATGGAAGAACAGAACTAAAACTTTACAAATATTCCAGAAGAGTAAAACCTCTTTCAAATGGAAAGTTTTGTTGAAAAATTTGGAACTGTTTTTGAGAAAAATGTCCTAGCAGTGTTTCTGAAATTCACATTTTCACCCACAACTTTTGAATAGAGAAAAATCATAAGTGATTATTTAAAGTAATTGTCACAAATACAATAGTAAAAACAAATTGTTGGTAATGTACATATTAATGACTTGAGAGTGATTTCAAAGAAATTATATTTAAAAGTATAAATAAAAAATGTAGAACCTTTTTGGAAAAAATGGCATTTGAGTGTTTCTGAAAATGTGGAAATTTGAACTTATTTAAACATTTTGAATTTTTGATTAACTTTTGACATAATTTCAAGCACATGTGCTCATAAATGCAATAATGTGAACTAATCGCAACTAATGTAAACATTAATGTTGTGAGAGACAAGTCAAGAAAAACAAATTTTTGGGGGAAAAAACAAAAAAATAAAATAAATGACTTTTATGTCACTTTAAACAGTGAATTTAGTACTATCACTACAAAAAACATTTTGAATCGTTTTTGGGAAAATGGCTTTGAGTGTCCCTAACTGAATTTTGAGCTTATTTTCTCAGAAAACTTGTTTTAGAGAGTTTTTGAGAAATTTTTCAAGATATTGTCAAGTACATGTAATTATAAATGCAAAAATGTGAACAAATCGTTGCTAATACACATATTAACATGATAGAGATATAAAATTAATTACATTTGTGTGAATTTTGAAGAAACAACAACGACAACAAATTAGAGCATAATGGTGTTTATGGCATATTGTAGAGTACATTTAGCACTATCCCTGCCAACAGTTTAAAGATATAATTAGGAGCAGTTTTTGTGAAAATCCTGTTTTTGATATTTTTTAATATTGCATGCTTGCACAAAACTACAAAAAATTTTAAAAAACCAGTATTACCTTAATAAAAGAACTAATCACGGAGAAAAAAATACTTGAAGTAAAAATTTCTCTTTTTAGTAATAGTATGATTTTTTTAGTAAAAAAACAGTAAAAGCTGTATGGGGGAGATGATTATCTGCACATGTTTTTTTGAGTTCCAGAATCACTTCCCGTTATTTTAACTATAAATAGTTAAAAGATGAGTAAAAGTTTAAAATACATAAATTTAAAAAAAAAAAAAATTTAACGTGCGATTGGCAATATTTGAAAAACTAGACATTTTCGTTTCCGAGGTATAGAAAACTTATTTTCATCGGTAAACGAATTGCAAGTATGATTTTTCTGCATTGCTAACAAAATAGCAAGTCGCCCTTATCTCTACTCCTACTCTACTTTTACTATTACAAACAAACGGAGTGTTCAATAAATACGCGCATGGTGAAGCTAGATTTACGTGCAGAATCAAAGCAAGGGGCCATCTCAGTATTTGCTCAATGGATCAAGGAAACTGAACAAAAACCTGATTGAGATGGGGGTCATCGATCCGGAAGCTGAAGTACATTATTTGTTACAAACATTAAGTCTTTTTTAAAAAAAATATACAATACAAATGTAAACTAATTCAATATATATCACTGTTTTGTTAAAATAAACTTTTTTTTATAATCAGTATAGTCTCTAATTGTGTAGAAACAGTTATGCAGCAGAAAAGTTTTTTCTTTTAACTTAAATTTGTGAACCGACTTCAATTGTTTAATGTCATCTGGCAATGCGTTGTAAAGTAACGTATTACCTGCGTATTACTCGCGCAAGTTTTCTTGATACACGCTCCCAGCGCTGAATAGCACGGCATGTTGAGATACATAGGTCCGACTCGGAACGATAGTACCAATTTACACTGGCGGCAACAATTACATCGTACTTTCAAAACAATTGTAGCATTTCTCGTGGCACGCTTTGGTGAGCTAAGTTCATGCCCATTGTTGGTACGCCCTTTTAAGCCGTGACGTAGGCAGAGCTCTCCTCTCCCCGCACCCCTCGCTGTGGAATATCAAGAAAATAGTGCGTGTAGTACATGTATTGTAGGTGGATTTCAAATCTTCAATTTTGTAGTTGGAGGAAGACATCAAAAAATTCCAATTTTTGAAATTTTCGATAATTCAGTTATCTGTGAAAATCGGTCCTATGCCACCTTTGAGTATTCTTAGAAGAAAGGTAGAGAGAAAAATTGGAGCTAATTTTGAGAAAATTTTTTACGTATACTAATGTATACGAATAACATTAATATTGCTGACCCTGCTGAACCCATGCATTCCCCATACAATCCCCGAATACCGCCCGACATCCTGGACATAATACAAAAAATATTCACAATTGAATTTTCCAACAACCCGAATCTATCACCGATCACTCACCAGTCCTCATTTCCCTCGAAATTTCGCCGGTGCTCACTCCTAAACCAACCAAAATAATTCAATAGCCCCTCTTCCATGATTTCTTAAATACTTACCTCCCTACTCCATGCTTTTTTAATCACCTAATCGAAATAGATACAGCCATCGACACCCTAACGTCAATCATTACAGCAGCGGCGTCCAATGCTTCAAGCCCCTCTCATTCGACTCCCAAACTTACCCACTCCCTCGTCCTCCCCACTCATATCCTCCACCTCATACAAGCCAAACGCCGTGCCAGAAGGAACTGGCAGTTCATAAGATTACCCTATGTGAAAACCATTCTTAACCATTTTACCCACAAAGTCCACCTAGGTATAGCTAATACCAAAAACGCTCACTTCCAGTCTTTCATCTTCAAACTAGCACCCAATGCACCTAACCTATGGATAATGCCTGGCCTATCCTCGAATTCAAACACTGCTGTCTCTGAACTAGAAAAAACGAATCTTTTTGCCAATAATTTCGTCAACTACTTCACCCCCATCCATCCAACAACCCAACTTTTTAACTCCAAAATCAACGCCTTCATCAGACTTCCCCTCTCGTTAGCTCCAGAACCCATCAAATATCGCTTCCACTCTCAAGCAACAAAAATCTTCCAGTCACGACCTCATTCCTAAATTAGTTATAATGAAGTTATGCATTGCCAAAACCTTCACCTTAAAACGTATCTCGCCTGCTTCCCTCCTCAACATACAATATACTCCCCTCCAAGCATAGCATATCTATCCCTTACCTTGGAGTCCTGGACACCCGCCTAACCTAGAAAGACCATATACATTCACGCCTAAATCTAGCCTATTCCTCCCTTCGTCACCTTTATCTTCTTATTAATAGAAATATTTTTCAACAAGCTTCATAACCTCCCTTACCAACTCACATTCACATTAGCAAAAACTACGTAACTCCTGTCCTATCCTCCGTTACTTCAATCCTCACATCATAAGCACCGTTACCGCACTTATTTCACAAATCACTCGTAAAAGCTCCTAAACACCTCACCCTGATTTTCCCCTGTGCTTCCCCTACCCACTTCTACACAAAAACCAGAGATATATGCACTTAAATATGCCGGAAAAATAAAAAAAAAATTCAGTTAAAGAAAAAAATCTCAGAAATGTAGAATTATGCAAAATAAAAAGGGCAACTTTTGTTTTATTTTAGGCGATAGGTAAAGATATATACATTTCTTTTCGATATGCGCAGTCTGTAAAAATAAGCATTTGAATGAACTTCCGCGGCCTACTTATGACATGCACAGAAACTTGATCGGTCCTTTTCTTTCTTTAGTAAGGGCCCGTCCATTAATTACGTAACGCAAATTTGGAGTTTTTTGAATACCCCTTCTCCCCCTGTAACGCACCTGTAACGCGCGCTTGGAACCCCTGTAAACATTAAGTAACGCTTGCGACAAGCCCCCCTTCTAATTCCAATAAATGAAACTCAATATAACTTATTATACTCAAACGAGTTGTATTAAATGTACTTGTGTTAAAGATTAAAATGTATTATAATTAACGTGAGAATTAGTTGGTGGCGCGGACAGCGCATAACAGTAAGTTTGGGGACAATATTTTTAATGAAAGAAGGACGCTTAGGCCAGAAAATTTGTAACAAACCGAGCACATGTCGTAGAAGATGCTCAGACTTCGAGTCTACTGCACCAACTACGTAATTGGATTCTAGAATATACTATAGATCAGTTTTGAATATTTTCTTCGTAATCTAAAAATGTAATCATATCATTGATGAAAAATATGTTCATTTATTGTAACAATTTATAGGATATAACTTCTTTCATTTATTATATTTTTGATTTAATTTGTTATTATGAAAATGTTTTAGTATAAGGTGGGGAGTTCAATAAAACAAATTATTTCAGCAAAAGTTGAAAGAGTTTAAAAATAAATAGCAGCATCAAGTAACACTAAAATATAATCTCACTACCTCTATGTAACGCAGCGTAAAGCTCCTTCAAATTCCCTCTCCCCCTCTTCAGCGTTACGTAATTTATGGATGATCCGTAAACACTAATTAGAGAGAAACAGCACATTAGATGTTAAACAGTG